AATGTTATGAGATTTAAGCTATTTAGTCTAAACATTTATATTTTCATGTTATAATTTATAGTCATTCTAGAACGAAAAAGGCACAATTTATATTTATTTCCTAATTTTTATGGTTATGAGATTGGTCAAGTCGACTGAACCTGTACAGAGATTCGTTAGTGAAAATAACATATAAAATATTAAGTTTTTCTTAAAGAAACATTTGATAACTATCTGAACATGATAAGGATTTCGCATGTGAAATTTTAAAATTTTGTGATATATAAAAGTATTTTTAATCTGAAAATGAAAATTACTTTACATGTTGGATAGGCAACATGCCAAAAGAAAAAAAGCATGAGAAAAATATTGCTTAAGAAACCTTAAGACTTAATACAAAAATCTGATATTTTGTGTATGAAAGCAATGTAATGTTTATTGATAATCTGCCAAATTTCATGAACGTAATTTAAAAGTTATAGCATGACAACTGTAACAAGCACAAAATGGTTATGAGGTCAGTCCCAGCGACTGAACCAATGCTGAAAGAGTTAAGGAAATAATCCTCATAGTCTGTTTATTAAATATGTTTTTATGTGATTGCACTGAAACAAATAATGATGTCTAACAAAGTTTTGCTGTCTGTGAACAGATTTTAATGTACTTTTGTTTATACAAGAAGTCCTCACTATACGTCCTAGATGTGTTCCTGAAAAGTGTGACTTTAAATGAAACAACATATAGGGAACTCAGGTCAAACGAGCACAAACCAATATGGTGCAGCTGGGTGAGACTGATGGCGAGGATACTGCAGAGCAATAGCAGTTGTTCAGTTCTAAGATAAGAAGGCTACCTGTCACTTTGTGCTTCATTTAAAATTTTGAGAAACATTTTTTCATCTCTTTACAATATAGAATATGTTCCCTAATTCATCAACAAAATATGTGGTAACTTTTAGTGAGGTCTCACTGTATAGTAAATACTTTTAACAAAGTTATGTACTTTAAGAATTATGAATTCTAATGAGAAAAAGCTTTTTTGTGTGAGAATTTAATTTTTTGTTGTGTATTTTGTTCACTTCAAGCAGATGCTTTAGTAATAAAAGGGAGAAACAACTTGATAAAAAATATATCTTGCCACATTCCAGTATTGAAGAACGACAGTTTTAAAAATTTAAACTAATTATAAACTGAAGAGATAAACTAAGGTTACTATAGATTTAGTTGTAAACATATTTTGATTAGTTCTAGTATAAAAGAAACAGGCAGATCTGAGGTTTTATTGTGATTCTCTTTATATGAGAAGAAGCAACTGTTTTTTTTTTTAAGGGGAAATCTAAATTAATCACTTCCCTTTAAATATTTTTTGTAATTTTTACCATGAATCTTGTAAGATAAAGCATATAATAATATCATGTTTCAAACTGTTAAGCCTCCAGTGGCTCAGCAGTAAGTCAGAGGGCTTACAACATTAAAAATTAGATTTCAAAACCTGTGGTTGGCCTAGTACAAATAGATCATTTTGTAGCTGTGTGTTTAACCACAAACAAATCAAACTGCTAGATGCATAAAAATTTAAATTACTATTACCTGTCTGCTGTCTACATTTAACTTACTATGATTTAGAGCAAATATTGACACTTCTTATCAATTGATATGCAGTGAATTAAATGACAGCTTAAAGTTTATCAGTATATTTACAGTATGAAAATATACAAGTTATTGCGCATAATAGAGTTAGTTGTACATGATTTTTCTTAAGTTTGTCAAGTTCACAATAGTACATGTACATTCATAAGCATATGCAGATACTTAAACTTTAAGGCTTAGTAGCAGGATTAGAAATATGTACTGATCACATTGGATTAGAATTCTTAGTGGTTTTTCCTGTGAACGTGAGTTGGAAAACATGCAACTTGTATTCCAGAACATATAATAGTATGATAATTGGAGTTATAATCTCTAACAGTCACAAGTGAATCGTTTAATTTTGATGGATAATAATAATTATTTTAGTGATAATGAAAACTCTAGATGTGTAAAACAGAGTTATGAGAGAATATCTCTGTCAGTGTGATTCTATCGTGAGGACTTAAGAAACAAAATCAGTTTTAATTAAAGTATTCACATTTGCATTTAAATACATATATACCATATACAACTTAAAAGTTGGTGTATTAAAATATTTTATCATTATTTGTTATCATCTGATAATAAATAAAGGAATCTTATTGATATATTCAGATATTTTAGCATGTAAAAGTATCTTTCTTAGAATTTTAAAAATGTGTTTTTGGAAGCTTGTGCTTTGTATACATGAATTTTTGTTGATTTAAATATTATACTACACCTGAGAAAACAAAAGGATATCTACTGCTGTGCACTCCATGCCATAGTACTTCAATAAGGTATTTAGGGTTTTTATTTGTTTTGTCATGTGATTTTCAATGTAGGCAGAACAGAGAGAGAAAATGTACTTGCACTCTGGGTTACTATTATTGTCTTATATACTCATGTTTTAGCCAAGAGAGCTTAGTATAATGTTCACAGTCATAGCTAAGAGAGTTTAGTAGCATGTTCACGTTTATAGCATAGAGAGCTTATTAGAATATCCACAATTATAGCTAAGAGACTTTAGTAGAATGTTCATGGATATAGCTAAGAGACTTCAGTAGAATGTTCATGGTTATAGCTAAGAGTCTTTAGTAGAATGTTCATGGTTATAGCTAAGAGACTTTAGTAGAATGTTCATGGTTATAGCTAAGAGACTTTAGTAGAATGTTCATGGTTATAGCTAAGAAACTTTAGTAGAATGTTCATGGATATAGCTGAGAGGCTTTAGTAAAATGTTCATGGTTATAGCTAAGAAACTTTAGTAGAATGTTCATGGTTATAGCTAAGAAACTTTAGTAGAATGTTCATGGTTATAGCTAAGAGGCTTTAGTAAAATGTTCATGGTTATAGCTAAGAGACTAGTAAAATGTTCATAGTTATAGCTAAGAGACTAGTAGAATATCCACAGTTATAGCTAGGAGAGCTTAGTAGAATGTTCACATTTATAGCTTAGAGAGCTTATTAGAATATCCACAGTTATAGCTAAGAGAGCTTAGTAGAATGTTCACAGTTATAGCTAAGAGACTTTATTAGAATGTTCATGGTTATAGCTAAGAGACTTTAGTAGAATGTTCATGGTTATAGCTAAGGGACTTTTGTAGAATGTTCATGGTTATAGCTAAGAGAGACTAGTAGAATGTTCACAGTTATAGCTAACAGACTTTAGTAGAATGTTTACAGTTATAGCTAAAAGACTAGTAGAATGTTCACAGTCATAGCTAAGAGACTTTAGTAGAATTTTCAGTCATAGCTAAGAGACTTTAGTAGAATGTTCACAGTCATAGCTGAGAGACTTTAGTAGAATGTTCACAGTAATAGCTGAGAGAGCCTAGTAGTGTTTTATAGTTATCACTAAGACAGCTTAGTAGATTTGAATAAAGAGGATAGAAAAAATGTTTGAATAACATATTCAGTGTAGTAAAATTAAATTATGTAGTAAACTGATTACTTTGTGTATTTCAAGGTACTTCAGTTTTTCTCACCATAACACAAATAATTTTCTTTATGTATCTTTTCATAATATTATTGGATACAAGGAGTATGATCTGTTTTTCAGTTAATTTCCCTCTTATACTTTCATGCTACCATATACTTATGTGATTTTAAACATTTATTGTTTGGACATGGTGTGTGTGTTTTTTTATTGTGGTTTCCAACTCAAATTTTTTTAAGGGATTAGTAAACTTTAATATTAGTTTTCTATCCAAACAAGATACCTATTTAGATCAAAACTCCAGTAATGAGTATAGCTA